AATGGGAATTAAACTCCGTTCCAGGCAAATTAACTTTTTAGCAGGGGCACCTTTACCCTGAGTGTCAAATATTTGCCACTGCTGTATTGCAATACATATACACATACACAGTGCCAAGAGCCCCTGGTACAACAAACTTTTGCCTGCAATTGCCGTGAGCTGGAGCAGGTGAAATTTGTGAGGCACCTTGGTCGTCCTTGAGCTCCAATAACAGTGCTGCCATGGAGCCAAGCTACTCCAGAACAAAATGTCAGGCACCCATTTCCAATCCTGTTACTCACAACCTGCCCACGATGCCATATTTCTCCTGCAGTGACATTTAAACTCTTCTGTTTACAGGGTTCACCCTGTAACTGGAGGTGCTGTGAGGCTGCTACATGTGGGGCCATCCGATGTGGAGCTTTTGTACTTTCTGCACAAAAGAGGAAGATGTGGTGTGCGTTGGGAAGACATGCTACTATAGTCTCAATACATGTCACCATGATGAGCCAGATTTGGTAAAGAGAGAGGGCTTTTCTGGAGATATTTCCATCTGTTGCATTTATAAATCCCCATGGCAGTTCAAAAGCATGAGAAAAGAAAGGACAAGAGAGGTTTCTGGGCTACCCTGTGTTAGCAATGCAGGGGAAGCTTTGCAGGGCTGAATTAGATGCCTCCTCCTTCCTGCCCAAAGCCCAGGCAGTCCTGCTGCCAGGGTGCAACTGCCTAGGGGGAGCTGAGGAAGGCCAGGGAGGCTCTGCGGCCCCCTGCAGCACAGCCATAGTCTCATAGGAAACACAGCCCACAGCCCACAAAGCTAACAACAGCACAGAGGGGCCATTTTGATCCTACTTGTTCATGCCCTGCAACTTCCTCACCAAATCTCTCTGGACAGTGGCCTACAGACAGGCTGGGCCAGACATTCTGGGGAAGAGAAGGAGCAAAAGTTGTTGTTGGTACTTACAGCTCTTTTGAATTTATTTTGGTAATGGTAATATCTGCTGTAGAGATCTGCACATGGACCTGAACATTACATTTACCTGAACCATGGATTTGTGTTTCTGAGAGTCTGCTTCCTGCTGCTGGGTTTGAGACCACTTAAATCCCCTGGTACCAAAGGACTTGCTGAAGATTTACAGTGAAAATCAGACCTCTAAGTTTAGAAAGCGGAATCAATGTAAAGCTCTGCAAATACGAGAAATACATCTAGGTGGAGGTGTGAAGCAGCCTGCTGAGCTTCATTACCAAGTGAGAAAAGGTTGGGTGGGCTCCCACAGGTGGAGCTGTCTCACACACAGCTCAGCACGGCACAACACCTCTCTACCAGGTCTTGGGCCACTAAAGTGTTTTATTCACTGACTTGGTGTTTCCCAGGCAGATACCTCGTGAGGCTGAATCCCACCTCTCAGCATAGCTCCTTGAATTGAGGAGCTCAAGAGCTGGTTTCGGCATGACCATGCACACACCCTAGCAGAGATTACTATGCGAAGGGGAAGACATGAAGGGTTAGCAATTTGGACTGCACATTTTACCTGGCAGCTTGGTCTTTAGCAACTAAAGCTGCCTTCTAGTTCAGAAAATAGCTGAAGCTCCAGCAAGTACAGGAATTTCAGGAGTCCAGGCACAGACGGCATGCTACAGCCACGCATGCTGTCCCCAGCAGTGATGCCTTCACCACCATGAGCTAAAAGAGCCAACACAGCAGGAGGAACAACCACAGGGAAGATAGAGCAAATCTTCCATCCAGCTAGCTGCAGCCATGAACTTTGAAACAAAAGGACCCTTGATACAATGAAATGACAGAGAAAACACACCTGTGGCCTCGAGCATTTCTGAAAGTGAGGTGAGCAATAACACAGACTGTACCACTGACTATTAGTTAACTATGACAGAAACTCAGTAATGCAGTTAGAAAGTTTCTATTCTTAGTCCAAATTTGGATGTTCCTCTCTTGTGCACGTAGACCGTGGTTGACAAAGTTAAATAAAATCCTTTGCCTTATATAGCAGAAAGCTTTTAGGCTACAAGAATCCCATACCAGAATGGTTTTCAGCCTAAAAATTACATTATGATGGCAACTCAGACACTAATTTTTTGTTTAAGCCCTATGGATTGAGCAGTTCTTAAAACACAACACTTAATAAAAATAATAACGAATAGTAAATCCATGTATATATGGAAAATGATTACGGAGAAGTCTCTCTTTAGGAGGTAGAAAAGGAGTTGAACAGAATTTACTGAGAACTTATAGTATTTTATAGTCCGTGATGCATGTTTCTATTATTTTCCTTTAACATTATGCTATAGCATAGCAGTAGGGGGAAAAAGTGCCTCATAAAAAATCTGTACAGATATATTTTTGTGTAAAGATTAGCCTTCTTCTATGAAAGCCTATTTTTTTAAAACACAGCTACAGTTAAAGAAAGAAAACCAGCCAATTTTCTTGAAACGCAGCCATGTGTGGAAGGTTTTACTTGCTAAAACACCAGGAAACACCATCTCAGTAATGCTTTTTTACAGGATGTACCTACTTCAGCTCAAGTGTTAGTAAACAGGGGGAACAAAAGTCCTAAGCAATCTGTGGACCACAATCCCCACCACAATCACCCACAGAATAGTTAGCTAGGGCTCGGATTCTCCCTTACACTAATAAAATCTGAAACTGGACTTCTTGGTCCCTCTTTTAGCCACCAGACTTGTGGCTTAGGTGGGCTCTCACAGATATTTGTCTGCTCAAGGGTTTGCATCAGTAATAGCTGAACAGCTCACAAAAATTAAAAAAAATAAAATAAATAAATTAAATAAATTAAAAAAATAAAAAAAAAAATCCAACTAAACACGAGCCCAGGATCAGCATCACTACTCAGACAAAAACACCTCAGATTTAATTCTGAGCACAGGAGAGTAATTTTTAAGCAGCTCTGCTAAAGGTGCCCAACCTGTACATATGGTCCCTGTGATAATCCCAACCCAACACATCCACCAACCTCTGCACGCGGGTCCATATGGTGACCCTAAACCACATATGCTAAACCACAGGGTCAGTCCTGTCCATGTCCCTGAAGGCCAGAAATAAAAAGTTGTTAAAATGGGACCTTTGCATTTAGTAGGGTAACAACACAGGGAAGAACACCAGGATAACGTGGTCACGCACTGGTACAAGAGGCACAAACCAGCTGACTTGACAAAGTCATGCCAGTGTGCATGGCATTCACCCCTTGATATACAGGTTTATACTGGGAGGCTGCACCCCACAATGGCCACTCCTGAACATGGTAAAGCAGGGCAAAGCCTCATGTCCTTTTACAGAAAAACACTTGCTCTCCTAGCACTATCACAGCAGCAGCAAAGAATGCAGAAGAGCAGAAGAGCCCGTTGTTTCTGTGCCAGCTGAACAGCCGTTTGCTGGGAGGGAGCAAAAAAGCAGTGATGCTCTGTGATGAAGTTACCAGTTGCCTCAGCTCAGGCTGGGTCTCTCTACATCAGGTACTCTTTGTGCCCAAGGGCAAGCGTGGAGAAGGTAATCAAGAGAAGGTGTTGTCCACGCTTTACATCAGAGAAGACATAAAGCTGGTGTCATGAACTTGAGCACTTCATCCTAAAAACTCCCCCCAAAGGCTGTAAAAAGCTGTGAATTTGTAGTAGGAGAAACGGAGCCCTGGAGGACGGAGCAGGTGAGAGCACCGGAGGTGAAAGCATTGTTACATGCTAGCACCTGCACGCATGAGGGTGGAGAGAAATGCCCAGGAGGCACTGCAATGAAACCTCCACATCTCCTTGGCAATAACATAGGCATCGGTTTTGATCACTGAGTAGAAAAGCAGTGCAAAAGGCCCAGAAAGTCATCTGCAGAGCATAAAGCTAACCCAACAGCACTGACTGGCAACACAAGATGCTAGACAATTCTGGATTAGCTTAATGGCCCCATGTCTCATCAGCATGAAACAAAGGAGCCCTTGTTATTAGTAAATATTTTATATTAAATTAAGATAATCAAAAGAAAAAAAAAATCAGTATGAACATTTAGAACAAAGGCAGAGGGTAAAGAATGTGTCCTTTTAAGATAGCCTGTATTTCTTAGGAAACACATTACTGACTGAAGAAAATAAAATGGGAAAACCTGTATCTAGCAACCTTCTTGATTGACACACAGAGAATCTGAGAAAACAACATTAAGAACTGATTCCTACAAATTCCCTTAATAAATGCAAGTCCCTCAGTCTGAGATGAAGACAGACATGGAGTAAAGAACCAGGCCCATTTTTTTGGCAAAGGCATGTAGTTGGTGTTCTTGGCTAAACTCAAGATCTTAAAATGATGACATGCACGTATTTATTTTGGTGTGGCAATTACCTAGGAACTCAGACCAGAACAACTACAAACAGATTTCTGCCCCATGGATTTATATAATGCTTGAAGAAGGCACGTAGGAATTATAAAGGTAATTCAGAAGTATTTTTAAGTTATTTTTCATAAATTTCAATAGAAGAAACAGGAGTTTAACATCTGGTGAGAGAGTTTGAATCCAGCAGCTCAGTCTTATCAAGGCATATGTTAAATATATGATAAAAAATCCAGCTAGCCCATTATCTCTAACAGCATCTGTGAATTTTTGAAACTGCCATTTCTGTAGACATCTGAATTGGTCACTGGAGGTGGTAAATAAGATGATTTGCCACAGATGCAAGGAATCAAATCCTGGAGCTGTGCACAGAACAAATGGGAGCTCTGTTCGAGCCAAGATGGAGCCTTCCCTCCTTGCTACTTGAGGCCAAGTGCACCCACAAACAGCTGCACTAAAGCCCTCACATCAGTTACGGCCTGACCGCTGCTGGGGAATTTCACAAAGTTGTATTTACTTGTTAAAAATGATTGATTTGAGCTCCCCTCCATCTTTGAGCAATTCGTCTGCACGCTGTACCATCTGCTGTAATTCTCCCAGGTTGGCTTTGTCATACCGTAACACACAAAAATCAATCACAGCCTCTTGATACGTCAGTGCCCGAGGAAGAGCGGCCGCATGCGTGATCTCACCATTCATTTCACGCTGTACTTTTGCTCCCTGCCCAGCGAGTTTGGAGACGGTACGTTGCTCCCCTTTCCAACAATAAGATCTTATCACAGGCAGCTGGCCCACGTTCTGCACTTTCATTTTTATTGTGTGGGTTCTGAAACTCTGATGCAAATAGTCTGCCGAACATCCTCCCTCCACTGCATGTGGTTTTTTTTTTTTTTTTCCTCTTCAACCTCCTTGCATGCAGTGTGCTCCAGCGTCATGCTGGCTCCAGCCAGCTCCCATTGTTCACATTGTTGTTTTTGTGTCAAGGGCGTGAGAGGAATTTTTTCTTTTTTCTTTTTCTTTTTTTTTTTTTTTATTTTTATTTTTGCCAGGACAGCAATTTAAAGCTAAGGCCTTGAAAATACACTTGCCATTTGCAGGAAAATAGCTACTGGACTCACCACAAGGCCAAAGATGAGGGGAAGACCCAAGTGGTTAAAATACAATAACATAAATTAAAGAAGGACTGAAGAAAGAAGCCATTTGCAGAATAGGATGAAGACACCAAAAATTGAATATTCTCTGCAATGGCCTACATAGAAGAGGAACTGCCACAGCAGATTAGATGAGTGGTCCGCTGGGGCTGCCGTGCCAGCAGCACGGTGGTTATCTCTAAAAGCGTGAGAGAAATGATGCGTGTGACTGGGAGTGACAAACGGGACAAGGTAAGCAGCCAGCTAATTGTGCAGTGCTGTGCATGGGTTATGCACGAGATACTTCCCGATACCTACTTGCGAGCAGCACTACTTATTTCTGTATGGAGTGTGTCTTTTTTTTTTTTTTTTTTTCATTCAACAGGAAAAACAAGAGGAAATGAACATGTTTCACCATTCTCTTCACAGATTTGTTTTGTTTTTAATTTTTAAATACTGTTCTCCTTCACAGCTCATAAAGTCTGAAGCCTGTCTCCTATAACCTTTCTTCTTTAAAATCTCGTCTATGTTGATCCTGTCTCCTCCTGTGACCACTTTTATCACATCTTTTGCAATTGTTGCAACTGAAGACAGCAACCTTTCAGGTGACATTCCAGCCTGTCCTCAATACTATGCCCTCTAGGTTTACACCTTCTAGTTGGCTTTTATTGACCTCCAACCAAGTATCCTAGGAACTGCAGTGGTTATTGTGGTTTCCCCAAAGCTTCCCACCAGGTTAGCACCAAGAAGCCCCGAGCGTCTAGGGTGAAGCCCATGAGAGTTCTTCAGAAGCTCTGGTCTTCTGTGGGACTTTCTGCTGACACAAAATTACCCCTGCTTTCTCTCTGTGTCTTCAGTGCCCTTCCCCCTCCTCCTCTCCCCATCTGCTGGCTGTACAGATATTTGAAACCCTTCAGGTGCTTTTCATCCCCTACACTCATGTTTTGATCTGAAGCTCAAGGGAAGCCTTCCCATTGATTTCATAGAGCCTCAGGCCAGTTCCCAATTTACTTTCCACTCCCTTCTCTAAATCCTTCAAATCCCTACAATGTTCTTGTTCAAGTACCAACTTCTCCTAACTACAAGTCCCCTCTTAATTTTGCTCTGCGCTGAGCTGCTGCCAGTCATCATTTGTTTATTCTGTGGCTTCAGAGCATGCCCTTTGTTTGGCATAGAAAATATCTACGCTTCCAAATCTTACCTCATCAGTTCAGGATAAATGGTCCTTGCCTAGTAGTTTGTATTTTCTTTCAAAGTTTCTTATAAAGGGCTACACCAAAAAGGTCATGAAAAAATGGAGGCAGTTGGCCAGGAAATGGTTCTTCAAGACCCTATGCTGGCCTTTCCTCTTCCTAATTATGCTCTGAACTGCCTCAGCAAGCAGTCAATAACAGGCCCTACACTAACAACTTCCACTCACCACAAACAGCTAGTCATAACTTGCTAAAATACAAAAGTTATTCATAAAGCTCTCTGCTCCTTTAAAGAAACCAACAACTCTGTTTGTTACACACTTGGGATGTTGTCCTCCACCTGTAGAAGTGCACTGAGACTCCCCTAGACTCCACCAGGATTGGGCTGAAGCCCACAATTCATTATTTTTGTGATTCCATACTACTTATTCCGAAAGCCTTAGATGTATACTGGTATCTTTTAGTCCTGGTAATTTATTGAACTTTAGATTCTCAAGAGGCTTTACATCTTCATCCTTAGACACTTTTGTCTCTGTTAAAGAGACATAGATAGGTTAAAATTGTATTTACAGAAGTCAGCTTTCCTCTCCCTAAATCACGTAGGACTTACACCAGATACTGACAGTACTTCAAGTTTTGTCTTCTGTTGAACATCCTGTACAAACCATGTGGAAATTATGTTGTTTTCCCGTAGAAGTGCACTGGAAACAATGTGCACACACCCGTGCATGCGGGAGTACAATACGGAGCTAAAAGTCCTTTTTCCTAAAACCTTACCTCATGCTGGGGAGCAGGTGACTCTGGGACTGACTGCAGGAGAGGAGCTGCAAGTCTTTGCTACTGGTCTGTTATTGTAAATAAGAGCAGACACATGATGAGGGAAGTAGAACTCCCCCAGAACTTGCAGAATTTATCTAATGCGAGAAGAGATCAGGTCATCCACCTCAAATGTGCACATGCTGCACGGTCTTTGAGTGAGATGTACTGACACCTCATTTTAAATGAAGTCTGTAGCCCCATACAGTTTTCTCTGCATACACTCATTAGTCCTCTAAATGCTAGAACCTTTGTATGAGGCTTTGGCTAAGAAACCATTGCTTTATTTTATGGGCTTTGGTTAATAAACCACCATTTTATTTTACTGCTAGGCCTGTCTGACACCATGCAACAAGATTAATTAGGATAGAAAAATAGTAAAGGAAGAGGACAGCTATGACGCAGGAGTGATGTGCACACCAGAAATATGCTGAAGGAGCTTGGGACAGGAAGATGGGAGGGCAGGATGTCTGCCCATTGCTGTAATAACACAAATCCCATCTTGTTTGTCCCTCCTCTACACATTCCTCCAAAGCAGCTATTAGGATAAGGGCACAGAGATCACCAGAGAAATCTCCCACCCCTTCCTTCATGTTACTTGTCTCACCACCACCAGAGGTAGGCCAGGACACCAATTTAATTCCAAACTTTAAAGAGGGATACATGCATTTTGGAAGGCATCAAACCACGTGTCATTCATGCACCTGGTCTAGGTGACATATTTCTCTGATAGGAGTATGTCAGGGACTCCAGTTCGGCCTCACACCCCAAGTCTAGGCCACAAGTCCAGAGAGGGTGAAGGACTTCACTGCTGTGCTCTGTTCCAGTAAGCTTTGCTTCTTCTTTCAGCCTTATGCTCTGCTGTCCTCATAAAATTCAGTTAAAGCATTATAGCCAGTATCAAAGTGTTGACCTTAACATTAATTACTCAGGCTAGCAATGGTTGCAGGTCCCCAAAGAGTCCTTTAATTATTCCTGGTTTTGGACATTGACATCACTGAGGAAGAGAGATTTCTCAATAAAGCTGGAGCTAATCCTTCTCAAAGTTTAACTCATCCCCCTGAATTTTGATCATGCAATTGATCAGATTGTCGCAAAGAACGGGAAAAGCTTCTAAAAAAAAAAAAAAAAAAAAAAAAAGAAGAAAAACACTGGATTCCATTTTCAAAAGTGTCATTGAATACTCTTTGGGTTTGTCAGCTCTCTAAAATAGCTTGGTCTAAAAATTTCACATTCTTTTTATTCCTGCTAAGGAGTGGTGCCCTTGACTAGTCTCTTGTGTATTTCTTTCTTTTTTTGTTTTTTCTTTTTTTTTTGGTGGAGATTACATGAAGAATTAAACAAATTAATAAAGTGCCCAAAGAACACATTAGCTCACAAGCAATATAAACGACACATCCAATCAATCTGACACATTCACTGCAGACCTATTCCTGTCTAGCTGGTTCTTGGGAGACTTAATTGTCAAAAGATCCCAAGGGAGATAAAAAGGGAGAAGAGTGAGGATAGAGTGGGGAGCACCATCTGAGGTCTTGGAGGCAACTGCTCCATTTCCTATCAAGGCTGAGTTTCAGATCCCCTGAAACAAGTAAGGGGTGAGAATGTGAAGAAAAGTGAAGAATGAGCATGGACCTGCTAGATGAGGAAGATCCCATGGGAAGCCAGCAAGCTCCCTGTTATGAATTCATGATTTCTTCCTGTGCCCCCAGCTAACACAGTGCTGTCAGAGGCACTGTTATGCCTCTCCTTATTTTCTCCTGCTTTAATGCAGAATATGACATTTCTTAGACTTGCTTTCTTGACCTCTGCTACTTATTAGGTGCAGGAATAGCTTGAATTTAAAGCAGTTTTTTTGTGCCAAAGACAGACTTGATTAGGAAGGGTTAAGTTCCTCTGTAACAGATGCTGATATAATTTTTTAAAATCACATCCAATCCTTAATTGCTGATGACAAAGACTATTTGCAGCACACAGGGATGCCAGGAATACCCTTCCATCTCAGTGTTACAGGCAAGAAAAACATTGGTCAGCACTGATCATTTCTCTGTGGCACACTTTGCACACGCTGCTTTGGCTCACACCACCAGGGATGACAATGCTGACGAGAGGGGTACATGGAGTGCTTGTCAGAAAGCTGCCTCACTCTAATGTAACCATAAAAACAACAAAACTATGGCCAGAATAACTGCCTCCAGACACACTCCAGCTCCTCACAGCTGAGGGCTCAGGAGGGTGTCTCCTCCTTGACCTCCTTCCCCCTTACTCCTACAATTCCTCTGTGCCCATGAGCATTTCAAAAAGGGGGAGAAGGCCACTGGGCCTCCTCAAAGGCGTGAGCTCTTCGAGGGAACCATCCTCCTACCTGCTAATGGGGAGGAAGGCCCTGAGCTCAAGGAACTGCTGCTGTGTGACACCAGGCTGCAGGGAAAGGACCTTGTCATGCCACACAGCCCTGGTCCACATGAGGGGCGTCAGTGCTGGCAGGTGTACAGGGAGAGGGGAAGGGCACAGGAGGCCCAAACCCACAAGCTCCACTTTTCATTTTGGTTGAAAGCAACAATATGCATCCTCCCCTTTGCTTCCATTTGGTCAGAGGCTTTGAATGCCACATTTCAGTTATGCCCAGAGCAAACTGCTCAGTCCTACCTTTCATGAAGCAGACACTAACTAGGAGAGAGGTACAGGGTGGAGAAGAGGTTGAAGAAGCTGGGGGAAGGGTAACTAGGTAGGCAGACCAGGTGGTTGGGGCTATGCGAGGGTACCTGTTGGGCAGCCTTGGTCTTGATTCCCTCAGCTGGGAGCCAGACAACACACAAGGCCTGCTGTTTGGACCATACCAGACCCACCAAGCCTGCTTCTGCTGCCAGGAGGAGCAAGGGGGTCTCCAGCTGCTAGCAGGGGAGCACCCAAGGCCTAGGAGGAACAGAGCAAGTGAGCTACAGCATCGTGCCCATCCAAGGCACCTTCCTGGCAACTTCCTGACACGCATACCTGTCTTCAACGTCCCTATTATGCACAAGAACAGCTGACTACTGAAGACTCGATCATTTCTCATTTTTCTCCATCCTGTTGGCTGAAATGAACATCTTGCCCAACTAGCATCAGGGGACATGACAGATGTGTCTTTTTGCAATGACTGTATATATAGCCTTAACACAGCACCAAGCAGTAGGTTAAAAATAAAAAAGAATAAAAAAGAATATATAATCAAATTTTTGTTCTTTGTCCTCCGATGCTCTTTATCTTGTCTCCTTCCTTGCTTGCAATCCTCATGGCCTTCAGTTTCTCCTTTCACAGCTTACTGAAGATCCCCCCATCCCTTGTGAAGGCCTCCTGCAGCCCATTGCCAACCGCGTGAGCCTTCTCATCCCTAGCACTCAGATTTGCATTCACACAGGTGAAATGCAGATTGAGGCCTTCCGAGGCATCAGACTAAACATATCTCCTGACTTTCAGCTAACCTTCTACTGAGCAGCACTGTAATACTCACTTGCACATACTGTAAGTGCAGAGGCACATTTTAATAGTAATAAAAATAATGTTCTTTTCCCTCTGTTGAAAACATGGAAGATTTCCAGCAGCAAGTCAGGCAGTCAGCCTCCCCTGTACGCCTACTCCTGCAGGCGTGCGTAGGGAAGAAGTTCACTTTGTGACATGGAAGCCTGTCATTCCTCCAACCCCTCTTTCTTCTCTGATGCCCACATAGACGCTCTTATATTTTTTTCCTGGATGCCTTCCCTCCTTCAGAGTTAAACTGAACCTCCCATCCTGATCACAGGCCTCTGCATTCAAGGCACAGCACAGAAAAGGAAAAAGAACATTTTTTAAAATTATTATTATTTTATTTTTTATAACATCCTAAGCTCTGGCTCAGTGAAAGAACTGACTGGTCAGCCTCTCCATGCCATCATAAATTTCCTTTAAGTGATAAAGTTGCTCATTCAGTCTTTACTGCCTCCTCTGACGAAGACTGTGGTGGACAGTTACTTCAAGAAATGCCACATTACAAATGGGAACTCATTCACTGAATTGTTTTATAGACCAGTGTACATCAATTTTGCATAGACTATTTTGTTTTTAGAGCTAATTCCTAATCCTAACTCACATCACAGACACATATTTCTGCTTGGATTAATTAAGATCTTAGAGAGAACCTTCTGCTCCATTACCCTCTGTTACTGATTTATAAAAGAGGACACAAAGCAATGCTCTTAATGATAACGAGGGGAATATATTATCTCTTAATGTCATTCCTGGTTCCTATGCTTAAAATGTGAAGAGAGAAGAAACTTGGACGTTTCAGGGAACAAAAAGAAAATCTTTGTCAGCTGCATGGCATTCTTAAGTGGCAGATGCAAGTCTTCAGTAGATGACCCACTTAACTCTCCATAACGAGCACTTTGGTCAGTGATTCCTCAAACCTGAAAACACTAACTGGGAAGAGGAGAGAGACTACCAGGAACAGGAAGTTGCAAACAAAAAGAGGCTCTTGTTTATACTGCTAATGACGTGAAGCAGCTCGACAGGACCAAAAGCACTAAGGGTCAAAGGAAGATGAAGCTTTTTTGGAGCACACTGAAGGCCAGTACTAACTGAGATAGGAAGACTGTGCAGACCCTCCAGGTAAGGGAAAGAGCTGTGTGGGAAAGTGCAGAGGAAAGACCACAGGACAAGTTCTCTTGCAGGGACCAACTGAGCTGCTGAGCATCCTCAGGTGGGAGAAAACACCCCGGCTGATTTTATAGAACCTAGGTAAAAATAACCACATTAGCTGTGACCAGAAAAATAAATAAATAAATAACCAATAATAATAATAATAAAAAAAGATGAATTGCATAAGATTCATGATTTGCCCCTACCAAGCTTCCTGCTCTTTGATGAGACAGAAATCCATCTTCTGCAGGAAAAGGCAGCAGAGCAAAGGTGGAAAGGCTCAGTTACAGCAACAGGGCTGGACTGCTGAAGCAGCCAGAAAAAAAAAAAAAAGGCCTAGTCCTGGCTCACAGGACTTTTCTTTCATATTTATTTGAACTGTAATCCAACACAATCCCATTCCCACCATACATTTATCTTAAACAAAAGCAGCAGCAAAATCAAAATGATAACTTCTCAGTGCTGGGAAGGAGAATCCCAGGATGCTTTTCTCACAAGCAGTCACTGGCTACTTCCAGAGAAATGCAGACCTTGGGTGGGCAGCCTGTTATTTCCAGACACTGAAGCCCTGGTAAATAGGGCCACCTTTTCCCCTGGCATGGCCTTCACTGCCTGCTTGTCTACACATCCCAGCATCTGCCCACAGTTATTTTGACTCAGAAAATAAGACTAACAAAAAAAAAAAAAAAAAAAGCCAGTTACCTTCATTTTAAATGGTTTACTTAATCTCATCTAATCCAAATGTTGACTATGTTATTTTTGCAAAGTTGTGCAACTTTGGCAAACTGAAAGCATTTGCCTTTTACCTATCTATAACACCATCACACACAAAATACTCACACTGTAAAACGCATGTCTGCTTCTTTCCAAAAATAAAGAGGAGGTAGCTGAGTAGCCCACAGAGCTCACTGCAGGATTTACCCAGGGCTGGTCTGTAGCATCTAGGCACATCTGTCTCTGTTTTATACTAATTTGGCAGAAATATAAACCAGAAGTGACTTCCCTTAGTCAAAAAAAAAAAAAAAAAAAAAAAAAAAAAAAAAAAGATTAACAGGGAACAGAACAGAGAAGCCTTGGCTTCTTCAGAACATACACATAACAGCTAAAGAGGTGAATAAACCCATTTAAATGGGTGTATGCAAGGCCAGGCCTATAGGAACTGTATCTCACTTGGTAATGTGTACAAATTTGCTGGAAAATGATGTGCATCTCAGCATGCAAACTGTTATTTGCCATTCCTGGGAAATTTTTAATGGGAAATTGTTTACCATGACCCAGTTATTGCCCTTGTTTTCAGACTCAGGAATAAGAGGTTTTACAATTTTTGGATTAAATACTTTTGGAAAAGTATTCTGCTGTACTACATTTTTTTCCATATTTTCAATTTCTTTGTACTGGTTTAATTTTGGTAAAACATGCAAACAAAAGCACAAACTGAAGCGTACAGCATTTATGTTTGTAATTACAGAATAAGAGAGCCATAACCCATGCTGCCTCACGCTTCACCAAAAACTTCTCAAGCCTCTGAAGTCAAGGATAATTTTATATGTACTCTTGCTGAAGCCTCAATCTAACTGGATTCTTAAAAGACCAGACAGAGTTGCTCTGTCTCAAAGCATGAGGAAGACATGTATATATTCACCAGTAATTTAATAAACTAAACTTATTTTGCAATTAAGATGGGTTTGGCAGGTACAAATAGAATCAGATTAATTGTGTCTGATTGATTTATAATAGTTTCTAATCTGAGCCACCAAAAGGGAATAAAAGGAGAAGCTGCTTTCATTTACACAGCGCTACCTGGAGGCCAGATTTCCTTTCCAGTAGTGCCTGGCTACTGCACTCTGCTGATTTTGTGGATGTTCAAAACCAGACCAAACTTTCTACTTCTCCCCATGGCATGGCTAATGGGACCACCACTGTGCTACAGAGCTGCTAAAAGATGATGGCCTTTACTACAGAACTGTTTCATTGATGTTGATTCCTGTAACTTCTGCAGATGGGTAATGACAACAAAGTTGGACTCCATAATTGCAAAATACAGCTGATATTCATTGCCTGCATACACCTTTGTTTCTTATCCACTGCGTATTAGCCAGAAGCTCTCAGCTCCCAATAGCCAGGTCTTTCCATCTGGGCCTAAGAACAGTCACTTGTAAGCAATCCTAACTAAACAAGGACCTCACAGCAAGGAGTACTTCCAGGAACTACTTGCAAAACAAAAATGTGTGTACATGCAAACAAACAGACGGTGACATACTTCAAACTACCTGGACCTTATAGAGCCCCATGATGAAGCACCATGAAGCAAACATAGCAGCAGTTGACCTGTGCACAGAAAGACTCTCACAGCTTGTGGGAAGATGCCTGGTCAACATGAGGTGAGTGCAGAGATTGTGCTCAATCAGTGCCTGAAGTCTTCCCAGCACAAGAATGGCAATGCCACAATAACAAACTGGAGAAACCACTGCAAGGGATCAGTCGGAGCAGCTCAGTGACTGATCTACTATGAACTGAAAGACAAATCAGCCCCCTCTCTAGCTACAAATTTACAGAGACCTAGGGCTTGCCCACCTCTTTGGGTATGTGAAACCCAGCCAGCCCAGGGAACCTTGTCCACTTTTTCCAGTTTCACTATAATGATGGTGTTTTCTCACATCAGTCTGACAAGATGGCTCAAAAGCTAAGCAGTAGAGCAACCAGAGCTAAAAACACTCCTGGGATTATTCCCATATTGTACGCAATCAGCTTTGCTTCCATTTTATTCCTACACAGTTTGAGAATATATATATATATATATATTTGATTATTTTGATAGGAGAGATGTAGGTGCTCTATTTGTGATTAATTTCTTCAGAGACATATTTTCAAGCTGCTTCTGATTATCACCTCTTCATTCAGATCTTCCTTTCCAAAGACAAGATTGTAACAAAAATGCCATTTACTGTCCCCATGTTTACAGCATTTTTAAAGTTGACAGTGTGTTCTTCAGGACTGAAGGGCGCAGGGGGATAGGGAAGTTATTTGTTTAAAAATGAAAACACGCAAGCTGTTGGAACAGAGAGAATGAAACCTCATAGGGCTCAAGCACTCTTTAAGAAATTCTACAGAAGCAGTGTAATAGCACTGAAGGCTGATTCACGTAAGGAGTGATGCATCAAATGCATGTAATTTTTGCTGTACAATCAAGAGCTTGGTCTACGTGTATGTCCTCATGCATAGTCAAAGCCTGCAATGTAAAGAAGGCTGAGTCAGATTGTAAAAAAGGCTGTTTAATTCTCTAACATAAAGCATATGTTAAAAGCATGCTCTCTAAAAATTTCAGCAAAAAATCTAAGTATGTTGGTTTAGATACCAACATGAATTCTGAAAAAAATCCTTGAAGAAAATATCTCTATTTGTATCTTTCCAGGCTGTGTTCTAAGTGGCTGCATCCCAATAAAGAGAAAATGGGTAGCAGATTCTAAGGCTTTAAGTTTCAAAGCACTTCGTAATTTTAGATGCCCTCTCTGATATGCTTTGGGTATGCAAAAGATGAGAGCTCAGCATTTCCTAGAAGTCAAGCTCTCTCCAAATTCAGAAATAAAAGCTTAGGCACCTAGTTCTATATTTGGGGACATTTGAGTTTAAACACTGACAGTTCCAACACATAGTATTAATTCATACTTTTTCCCAGGATACAGCTTCCTATAGTCTATATAGTTAATTGCTTATATGTAAACAACTTAACTTCTTAGGTATTTACTGGCTTCTCTTTCAGAGTCTCTGAAAATCATACTATTTTTATTTAGGAGTCCAAATATAGAATTAAGCCTAGCATGATATTTAACAGTCATACAAGTGCTACTGACCAGAGCTCTCAATACTTTGCAACAGAAATGAAATACAACAATTCTTTCACAGATGTTTTCTTAGACAGGAAAGCTTAAGGGAGAAAGACATCTTATTCCAAGTGGAGATGGTTTAAAAAAAAAAAAAAAAAAAAGGTAACATGCAAAGACTGCAGTATTACAAGCTTCTATAAAGATAACACATTGAAGACCCTTCAAAAGCCAAATATGTCACTCAAGTTAGGCAGAAATTAGCAATACTTAGCACATGAAAGACTTTCTTAGAAGACTAAAGAAAGCTACAATTTCTCAGCAAATCTGATCATTATCATCAGAAAGTGAAATAGCAAAAATTATTAGGGAATTGTTAGGGAATTTCCCTAACAACAAACTTGTGAACCACGAGGCTCATTTGGGAAATATATTTCTCTGCTTGTTCTGGTGTATAATAGCAATCTCCTAAAGTGGCCGAATGTTAGCAAGTCCTGTGTACCACCAAGGACTCTTATTTAAGAGTATAAGGATAAATACAGTACTGGGAATTCCCTAGAAGTGGATCACCTCCACTTTCCAAGAACTCCTTAGAAAGTAATGATTCAGAGAAGAATTTTGCGTTGCTGAGTTAAAAATAACAATCAATGTGATATCTGCTTGAGATCTCAGTTAAAACTCTAGCAAAACAGCTAAATACCAGTTCAGTTAGGTAGCTTGATGATTTGCTTTCTGGTTTTCAAGCTTCCAGATGAACGCGAAGATGTACTTTTCCCAGTTCCTCTCCTGCTTCATCTTCTGCATAAAGACAGTGCTAGGCATCATATAACAGTAGCTGTATCTCCTTTTCAAAGTCTGACAAGAAGTATAAATTGCAATACTAAATGAACAGGAGTATGCCATCCTGATGAAAATTTGCAGACTGTGAAAGTAACTTAACAGAATGTGGCCAGAAAGTCAAGACTTACAGACATTGCTTCAACAATAGCTTTAACAAGCAAAAAGTTGCTTGTTTTGGTTGGGGTCTTTAGAAAAGAAAATGGTATATTTGAAAGTGGCATGTTTTATGTAGTTGTCAACAGTATTCTTCTCTGTTTTGTTCAGTTGCTGTTTTGTATTAGAAAGAATGATTACTCAGGGAAAAGATGAACTATCAGAGCAAAAGAGGATACCAAGTACCCATGGACGACATAGGATGGGAAAATACTGTTTTATATGGGGTAGCTCTTCACTCTGTGCAGTGAGAGATGAAGAAGTTCTTATTTCTGCTGGCCTTATTTCCTGCACTGTCACTGTGACAATGTGGGGAGACCTACATCTTCACGGGCTCCAAACAGCTCAGACAAGAATAAGTTTCTGCAGAAGAGGAGCCATATTGCTCATCTTCTCCCTACACAAAATAACAATTTCAGTCCAAATCTAAACTGACTATAGGGTACTCAGGGGACTTAGTGAAGATTTATATTAACGAATGTGAATAATGTGAATACAGGATCTGTTCTACCCCCACAGGTAAACAATTTATTAGAGGGAACGTAACAAACCAGACATAATGCCTTAATCACTTTTTTTTTTTTTTCCCTGCACAGGTCTCTGCCCTTCACAATAAATCTAGCCTTGACATCTAATTGAATATTTCTGCCCAGGAACTCAGGTAGGTAGGTTGCTTGGTTGGCTTGCTGGCTGGCAACCCCACAGCCATGGTTAAAGGTCTTCATAAATTAACGTCAATGCTTCATGCAATTGTTTTTTTCAACCTGGTCAGGTTTCTGTGCACTCTAATTGTTCTATAGCAATGTGGTAAACACTTCCTGCAGACAATTTGTTAGGAAGTTTGGATTTTATATAACCCAGGAAATGAAGTCATCAGACCTGTGGGCTGCCTGTAATGATTCAGTCCCCTGGTTCCTGCAACAAGCAAGCACTTCAGACACAAAAATCCAGAGGCAATGAAAAACTAATGGAAAGAAAAAGTGTGCATAACGGTTTCTCCATTTGTATTCAGAAATTCAAAAAGTTGTAAAGAACCTCCACAGACTTCCAGTTGTTTATTTTTATCCTTGTTATCAAAAATATAAATAAATTTTGATCTCTCTCCTCCTCTTGCCTTGATTACTTTCGGGAACAGAATGGGATAGGACATATAGGCAGGGATTGAAGTTTCTGTCGATACCCTTTCACTGAAGCAACACTGCTTTTTTTCCTTGCCTCATATTTCCATTGATTACAAAATACACATTTCCATTTTTATTAACTTCCCTGCTTTTGCATCATCAATCACTTCATCAACACTCTGGAAAAATTGCTACAGCTTGCACAGCATTCCCTGAAATGGCCTAAGGGCTCTGAAATGTTCATAGCTTCCTAGTTCAAAACTAACTTGGATTTGACCATCTTTGGCACTTGCTGCAGGTCTCATTTATTTCAGAAAGCCTTTGAGGAAATTCAGAGAAGTTTAAGATACTTTCTGACTTATAATATTATTTGCATTTCGCCTGAATAAATGTTCCCTGGGAAAAGGGATAATAAGATCAAATCCAAATGCACTAATGTTTCTGGAACTTGAGGCAAGTGGCAGACTGCTGGAATCCTCCAAATTACTGCTTTCTTCAATGCACACCAAAATAATTTCAATATGAATGGCTATATTTTGAACCTCAGTCATGGCACTGTACAAGTGCTCAGTTAGAGTTATACTTCTGTGCCTATTCCATGCCTTCTACCTCATTTGTAACCTTAATACTATCTCTCCTTTTAAGTTAGTTTTACATAGTAGAAATATTAGTATCTTATGTAATCCTTTTTCTGTCCCATTCCTAACCTGTCTTGAAATGTAAAAAGTTCTCTCTCTCCTTGTGACTTATCTCCTGGGCCTCACCATTTTGCTCATGGAAGTTCTCGTCTAGACTTCAACACCATGCAGCTGTGGTATGTGACCTCAACAGAGTCTTCCCCCTAGTCCTCTAGCTATGTAAGAGGAACCAAAATATTAGTAAGCAGAACAACATTTCCTCCCAATAGTCACAACAAACGCCACTCCAAAGAAGGAGGAAAAGAAGAGACAAAAGAGAAAATGTAAAAAGACTAAAGGAATTTCACATTGCAGACAAAGAAATAATCCTTGGCTGCCTAATATCCTGGAAAATATTCCCCATTTAATCAAAATAAAAGTTTAGACCAGGAAATCTGTTCAATCCATATATGTTCAAGTGCTAAGAAGAAATCGCATCATCTGCTTCTGAATCAACTGGCTTTGGGAATAGTTACTGGAACCTGGGGACTTCTTCAGGTCTCAGCTTTCTACCAGAGGAAGAGAAACTGCTCTGCGAGCCATTGTCAGCTTATTTTTAGCCATACACAAAGCAATTTCAACACTATATGACCTTCATTTTTGATGGAGGTGGGTGCACTTAGGTCTTTCTGCACTTATCTATCCAACATGTAGGCAGAGGGTTGTATTGGTACAGCTCGTAGTGCCAGCCATCCTATTATTGTAGTAATGCGTCTCTCCCAGAATTATACAGCTGCAAATCTGGGTCTGCCACTGGCATGCACAGTTTAACAAAGTGCTACATTATCCTTACACTGCTGCAAACGTTATTAGGGCTTAGCACAAGCTAGTATTTGCCTGTGAACTCCATCTGACTCTGAATTCAGTGGAAAGTAGCCTGTCCCATATCTGGCAGGTTTTCCTTTTGGCTGGGACACACAGAAAAATCTGAGCTGGAAAAGAGGAGGAGGAGAAATCTGAATGATTTGACTGGGGCCTAAACAACCTAAGTGGTAGCACACAGATGAGAAGACAGAAGGGGAGGTCTGAGCGGCATCTGGTGCATGTGAATCCTGATCTGTTGGATGGGGCTTGACATTATCAGTATTCACCAGGCTTACACATATCCATAAACACTACACATGAAGGGAATGAGTGGATCACATGTATTTTTTTTGAGTTTCTTGGGAAATACTTGTAAAAGCAAAGAGCAGGAAAAAAAAAGAACAGGTGGGCCTGGCATGTGTGGAGATAGAAAACAGGTAATAAGAGATATAGCACTGATGGTCTCAGGAGAAATACGGAAAACAAGGGAATTTCAGCTCCCCCCATTACAGAACGTAATCGTCTATCATTAGATGCCATTTAGATGTGCTTACCCTACTCTGATTAAATGTACATAGCCTCTTTTATTATCTTTGATATTTCAAAGCTATTAGCTATACTGCACAACTTACTTTATCTTGTTCAATTTTGCTCTCACTGAGGTTCTTCTTTTCAGAGGTCACTTGATCCTGAAGCCAATGATAAAATTCATCTTCAAAAGAGGAGTGGAAATAAAATTAGAAGAAAAAAAGTCCTTCTGGAGAGCATCCTCCTGACAGCCTGTCCCACTGAATTTGATAGGAATACTCCTGGAAATTAAGCAAGCCTGGTTTATCCTTCAATTACATTCAATGCTGACATTTATTAATTCCCAAGCATAACAACAATTCTGTTGCGTGTTTTTACATAATATACATGCACTCACACTGCTAAGTTCTTCACAGTTGGAAAATAGATTCAGAGCTCAAACGGGTAAAAGAGGCAACAGTCACAAGTAAATCCCAAGGGAGAAATAAAAGGACTTAATAGCAGGCTATTATTAAACTCTATTTGATATATTAAAAAATCACAAGGAAGCCTGTCAAAAAAATTACCATGATCAAATAAATTACAAGGCAAAGCTGCCAGTCATGTCTTGTGAACTGGTACAGCAGAGACACGATGGGAAATAAAATACCCGGAGCTCAGAACAAAACGAGGCTTGCGCTGTCAAACGGCCTGTCCTGTCTGCAGCCTCCCTGCCTCCAGGCAGCTACCTCCTGCTGCCACCTCTGCACCTTGGCCTTCGCTCCCGGCTGGCCAGGGAGAAGCTGAGAGTGCTGTGCAGTCTGCACCGGGGCTAAAAGCCCCACTCCCACTTTGTTCCACCTCCTCCCCAGCAAAACCATTCTTCTCCTCGAAGCTCCTCGTTATCTCCTGCCTACACACTCGCTGCATTCGCATGTACTTTGCCACTTTGCAAAGTGCTCTTGGGATTACTTAGGTACTGCAGAAACCCAAAGTTGCTCTGCTTTACAGCACCGCAATCCTGGCTTCATAAACCTCAACCTCGCACAATGGAGAACTGCTGGAAAATTAACTTCAAAATGTTCCCTTCTGAGTGCGTGACGCCAAAACTCTGCACAGTGCATCGCAACAAGGGTTTCTGCAGAGAAGAAGCCACCCAGTGAAGCACCTAAGGGACAGGCAGCAGAAAAGCTGAGGCTGGACATGCAGCCTCATCTCTCTCCTTCATGCCCATTCACAGCAGGAACTCCTGGGCAGAGCAGTATAGCCTGAGCTATAAGAGGCACTTCTCTTTCTGCAGCTGTCCATCCACGAATTTCCCAGAGACACATGACTGAGTTTAAAGCAGTAAGTGTTGTAGCCTAATGATCTTACAGTGTAACAGAGGAAAGGTTGGAGCAAGAAGCAAGATTTGTCCGGGTCAGCTGACAATGCTAGAGAAAATGGAAAGGCATTTGGGCACGGGAGGCCTCTTTCAGATTTTAGGAAGACAAAGGCTATATACTATGGGAATTTGAGAGTTAAGATTTATTTATTTATTTATTTAGCTTAAACCTGTAATATCAATATAGTCTCAGGTAATTTTTCCCCCTCATTGCATTTACTAGACATTTGTTTGCCTGATCTTTTTCCCAAGTTGCAAGCAGCAAGCTGAGCATCTGAAACCCTAACAATTCTAGTTAAAAAAAAAAAAAAAAAAAAAAAAAAAAAGCAGCCAGAAGCCTGTGCAGCTCCAGGGCATATATGTGCTTCTGCACCTGGGTGTCCCTGTGCATTTTATTCCACATAATAAATAAATGTTTATGGAGCAAAGACATTGCCCTGCTTTCATTTCTAGATGTTTCTTGCTGTCCCCCCACCCTCAAGTCATGCTGCAGTTAAAGGGACATCAAGAGTTTCTGTTTAGCTGCTTTTTTTTTCCCTTTTCCAAATGGTATAAAATCTTGATAACCTCTAACCTAGCTGTCAAATCTAGTATGCTTAAGTGAGAGAACCCACTGACGTCAACAGAGCTACTCACATGAATAGTTACAGCTTCATTTGGCCTTAAGGCTTCAGATGTGTTTAAACCATTTAGATCAATTCTAGGTCTCGGATTGCTTTTGCAGTTTCAACCATTTCAAACAAGGAGGAGCAGGAGGAGGCAAGGAAGGAAACACCGGGGAGACAACAGAGCTGCCACCACTTCATTCGTCCTGGAATGCAGTTAATGGCATTCCAGGTGCACTTGGAGGAGCTGAAGCTTTCTCTCTCCACCGTACACGCCCTGAAAGGCCCTTCTCCCAAGGCAAAACGTCAGACAAACCAAACCCTGCCCCACACGTTTGGTCCACAGTCATTCTGCAAACACTCCTAAAGGCTTATTTCAAAGCAAACAGAAAGTGCTCTGCAACCGAGCACAACTCCAAACCCTCTCAGAGGTGCCAGCTCTGTGCAGGCTCCTGGGAGAAACCCTGGGGCAGCAAGAAGCTGTGCTAACAGCATTGCAAGGCAGGAAGGCCCTCGCTGCTGGAGATGCAGTAACTTCCTGCGGTGAGAACAGCTTCTAGAAACCAGCCGTCTTCCCCCGAGGAAGCCCGTGAGATTTTAAAAAACCAACCAAACAAGCAAACAGACAGACACTGCAATGACTGTCTGTCTAATCTCTGGGGAAAAGATGGCGTAATACATCCAGCAAGTGAATCACAGTTCTGCAAATTGGGTGTTCAATTTCAGCAGTCCCACTGGCATCAATACACCTAACCAATCGATCAAGCCAGGCCAAACTGTTACATGACGTTCAGCTCCTAGCTTGCTCTATATAAAAGGGAACATTTGCTCCTTGGGCTTTAGCAGTGGGTTTGAACACAGACCTGTTTTGAAGATCAGGTTTTGTTACCCTCCTCACTTTCTTTCAGTTGCGTTGAGCTGTCACTGACATTTATTCTTGCTTGTTGCTCAGAGTCCTTGGGACAGCTACTGTAATCCTTTAACCAGCTGGCCTGCTGCCAATGGGTTTTATGCTGTATTATAAACAGAATCTGTCAGACTACTCATCCTTGCACGTCCCTCACAAAGAAGAGCCCAGGACCTAAAAAGAAGAGAGTATGCTTTTTGGCGGAAAGGTTGTTTTGCCCTGAGGTTCTTCCTCTGTCCATCTCACGTTGCAATCAGCAAAGATATTCTATCTGGGAACATGCAGGCCACATTCCTACCAATCACCTCAACAAGCCTTACTCCTGCAGTGCTCCTCTATACCCTCCAAGTTCTCCAGCTCTCTGTCTCAGCCCTGACCTCATATGCTGGAAGCCTATGTCCTTTCTCCATCCCCTACACATCCTTCTGAACACAGTCTCCCTCCAGTCTCCAGCCTGGCTCAGTTTGGTCCAAAGGCCAGCCAAGAGGCAACACACACTATGACAGGTTCAGAGCCAAATGTGTGACAGCCTCCTGATTCCTAAACACTCTTTGGGCCAGTTCTGCCCCGCTGACAGGGAAACCCCAGCAGAAGTAGGGGCTGAGCTCCCCTCCTGCATGTTTGGGGGGTGTTTGTTACAGGTTCGCTACTTGCTGCTGAATCCTGCAGACCTTCCAGAAAGATCTTGCTTCCAAGCAGCTAGAATGTGGTCTAAAAGCCTGTGTGCTGGACTGAAAAGCAAACAGGCAACTTGCACAAAGCGAGACAATCTGACCATTAAATCTTTTTTCCTCAGGTAACCCCCTTTAAATTACATAAAATTTTAAATTATCCCCAAACCAACCACTGTAAGGCCAAGAAAATGTTGAGGTACAGCATGTTAATGGATTTGTCAAACACCTAGTAATAAAAGCACAGGTGTAGCATCCAGATGGTCCAAAGCAGGCCCTGGAATGATGCTTGGCAATAGATTTAGGACGATGATGTGGACGTCCTTCTGCCAGTATACTACCTTAATGACCTTGAAAACCTCAAGCCTGTTAGTACATCTATGTGCAGTTGCAGTTAATTTCACCATTTATTAGCCAAGGCCAGGCAAGAGAGTGGAGTATCATGACTACCTCAAAGAAAGTACAACACCAGCATTGCTTCAGCACAATCTCTGCCTGGACCTATCATCTATCATCACAGAAGTGAGGCTATGAAGCTCTATTTTAATATGGTCTCACTGAAAGGCATTCTTCCATCCACTTCCTCTTGTTTATTATTCTTTCAAATATCTGATAAGATACTTTTCAACTGTGGCTATTCACTTTCTGTTTGCGTAGGTCTTGGGTTCATCACAAGCTACAAGGTCAGCATTAATCTAAACAATGGTTGGTTGTGGGCGATTTTGCCAAGTGGAAAACAGTCTAAAGGCTAGATTGTTATCATCAATAGGGCAACAAGCAGGCGGGAGAAACGAGCCCTACGTACACGCGTATGGATGAAGCAGAGCTACTCAGATGCCAGGTCATGGGTGTAGCACATGCACTGAGAAGCCACAGCTCCTGTCCAGGAACCGTTAAGAAAAAAAAGTAGGGAATGAAGCAGGAGGGGCCTCCGGTCTGCCCTAGCATGTCAACCAGGTTGGCCAGCTGGACACGTATGAGGAGGATGAAGGAGTTTTTCAAAAGGTGCAGTAAGCTATCTGCTTCCTACCTGAAGACCACATTTACCCAGTGAAATAGGCTGCAAAGCATGGCTCTTCCAGCTCTGACCCACACTGTCAGCCAACCCACAGCAAGATCTTTTGTGGGCAGTGTACTGATGGAGTGCCCTGAAGAAAAAACAACAAACAAATAAACAAAAGCCTCAGTAAAACAAGCAAAATGATGTCTGCATAAAAGCTTTAAAAGTAATTTATTTGAGGACTGCTGATTGACAGCACAACCAAGAGAGCAAAGCTCCATCAGTTTGCAATATGAAAATATAATAATTGTATTCACAGCTTGTCAATTGTAGAGCCCAAATCTTCCAAAATATACTCTCCAAACCTGGAAATCATGCAGTTTCTCTCTTATCCTTTACATTCCCTTCTCTGAAACACACCCCTTCCTGCAATCTCACCAGCAGTGACTCACAGCAACCTAATGAAAAAAAAAATATTAAAATGCCGACAGTAAAGCCTTGCTTATGCAAGCAGTTTCATAGCCCTGTATTATATGAATCTATTTTCTCCAGGTCATCTGTCCACAGGATATACTGAGTTTCTCCCTGCCTACATGCACGTTTCTGAGGCTGGGACAAAGCGTGATGAACACTGTAGCACTGGAACTTAGTGGAACAAACTGCAAGTGACGTTTGTTCTTCAGGTTTTGTTTGATCTCTGGATCAGTGAACCAACTTTTCTGGAATCTAAAACTCTTTAAAAAAGGAAGGTAGATACAAGCACTGATAGTACGAGGCAAAGAGTGCTAACTCCAACTCAGGAGAACAGCAGCTCAAGAGGTAAAATCTCTGTGGCAATTTAATTGTTGGTTTCTCTAAGAAGGATGGTAGATAACACTGTTCTGTGATCAGTATTTTGCAATGAGTGAAAAAAAAAATAAAAATCAACTGAATAATTTATTTCCTTTGCTCAATATTCACAGTTTGCAGGAGCTGCTATCTCAAGAGATATCTGGTCCAGAGGCCTTCAAGGGAACCATTCCTGATTCTCTTATTAAACACCTCTGAGATATCCTGTTCTCTATATGGCTTTTATAAACACCCAAGGTAAAAATATTTACATGATGAATTAACTATTCTCTCTGACTGTGCAGTAACCTTGGGCTGACAATCCATATTGTGCTTTGAGAATTCCATTTTGTTCAGCGATTGTTCAACACACAATGGTCTGATGGCCCAGCTGCAGCCAAGAAGCCTGCTACAAAGCCAAGGAAAAATGCAGACATCCAAAATTGATTCTCTGGCCAACATCATGCCAGCACCCAACTAGCAAGGCCAGTTATCTAGTCCCTCTCAGTCAGACCAGCTGCCAGCAGCTCCAAAGGCCAAAGGACTTGCTGGTGATAGCTGGGCTGTGAGCAAGTCAGCGTGACTTCAGACATTGGTAGCAGTACAGCAAATACTGATTAAAAGCTTTAAAACCATGAAAAATTGTACTATGTTGAGGTAAGCCTCCAAAGTAGCCAAGGATGAGGACTAACCTCTTGTAACATCAAAGCTGTTGTATTGGGGGTGATTATTTTGAAACGGTGAATGTAGAAGAGAAAAAGGTGAAAGGCTAATTCAGTTTGTATTATAAGCAGCTTGCTACACTTCACTTCTGCAGCTATACACATCTATGTAGATACTTCTAGCATGCTCGCTGAAGCAAATTTCCTACAAGGATATTTAATCCTGTTCATCAAGAACAAGGTCAATGAAGGAAGTAAGATTAGATATTTCAAAAGACGTGATAGTTCCCTTCTGTTGCCATAACAAAGAAAGGTACTTTAAATCAACATTGCTACGCTGAATACAGATTTAAGCAGCCTTCCCTGCAGAAGAATCATCCCCTCAATGTTCTCTCTCCGGTTATGAGACGGGCTGCTGCAGTCGGGGTTACATCATGACTATACATGGCCTTCCCTTAGCAACCGGCTTCACTTTATTGATTCGATCACTGATTATTATGGCAACAAGCTCAATTCTTACTGTTCAGACACTTTTTAAAAGGTCATCAAGAAAACAGAAATAAAAGCAGTTTTTCTTGACTGTTTTTGTGGCACACAGAACCCGT